GGCATGGGCTCGGCCCAACTACATCTCCATGTCATCCTAGAGTCCGACTCTAATTATTTTCATAATCAAATTCTCAAGCAAGTCTTATGCCTAGAATCAATTCCCGTAGGTGGCCTTTAGGCCTAGCCCTATCACACCTTAGTGTTCATACCATTCATCCTTAAGTATCTCTTGAGACTACTTAAGGCATATCTATTCACAATCCTACCTCTTAGGATTTGTTTCATCATTTATTTACATTAATTCCCCGACTAGTATTTTGATACTAATTGGCTAATCTTAGAACATACCAAGTTCCTATTTCCCAATTGGCATTTCATTTCCATTGATTTCTCAACCCAAGTATGGTTTGATCTCAATATCAAAAATATCACTTTAATCCATTCATGAATTTCATACATGAAGTAAAGTATATTTTATCACAATGTCATCATAGTAATTCCATTAACATGCCGTTCCATTCATTTCACATAATCATACACAATTATTCTAAATTTGTATATCATGCTTCACTTACTCATATTCATGTCATTTTCATTTAGGCATTATTAGTCATTAATAATCAATGAAAATCCCATCTAATTACTTTAGGCATTCTTATGAAATTAACTCACTAATTATAAGCAATATAGTCAGCCATCCTCACCTTAATTAAGCTTAAGCGCGTTCTACGCTTCTCGATTGAACTTTGACTAATTTCGGCGAACTTTGACCAACTCCGGCGAACTTTGACCAACTCCGGCGAACTTTGACCAACTCCGACGAAACTCCGGCGAAGCTCAAAAATACTTTAAATCAAGTTCCTAACAAGGTTTTATCATCACAAAACCCATATCAACACAAATAACCTATAAAAGGTTATTTTCCGGTAAACCGGTCGCTTTGGCTTCTAAGTCCGTTCTTGGACATAGAACCACTTTCCAACCCATAAATCCATACTTAGAACATGGAGAACCATCCCAAGGGTTCTTCATATAATAAATATTCCTCATGGTAGAAGAAGAATAAAGGGAAAGCTATGGCAAGGTGATTACCTCAATTTCCACACTTTCCTACACTTTTTTCCTTCTCCAAACACTCCTCTTTGGATCCTCTATCTTGAGCTCGAATTTGGGTGTGAAAATGATGAATTTCAGAGCTCCTCCTTCCTATCCTTGGGTGTTGCTACGAGTGGGTGGAGGTGGTGAGGTGAGAGGGGTGGTTTTTGTCTCATTTAGACAAATGAGTGAAGGGATGGGGTCTACTAAATGTCAAAGGGTGTCTCCCCCATCCTATCAATTGTTATTCAGCCAACTTAGCACTCATCAAGCCCCCGAGGGTTGACAAATTCGTGGGGTGGCCCCCACCCATGTGGGAGGTCATCCTAATTTGTCCCAAAGTGTACAATTTGCCCCGAAAGTTGTATTTTCTGGACTGTTTTAGATATATTTTATTTTATCGGGTTAAATAAATATATTACGTGTTCGTAATCATTATAACATTTAGAATGAATATGCATTTCCCAAATTTAATTTATAAGTCTCCAAAATCCAATTTCGGGCTTTTATCTGATAAATTTAACGATACCGGTATTTAGGCCTCTATTGACCCGTCGGTCAACTCTGGGCCCTTCCATGGCCCAAATGAAGTATCCACCATCCTATAAATATTTTCTAGACCCAGATGAATATAATATGTGGTCCCGATAATATCGGGCGGTCCCCACTCCTGATGTGGGCCCCACGTGCATTTTACTATTCACGCGAAAAAAACTTAATACAAATTCACAACCTCGTAAATTCACTAAAAATTTCATAGGGTTCAATAAATTATTCGCTTAAAGATAAATACATTTGGGGACGGTGTTACACTGTTTTTTTATTTTCCTGCGTGCACCTGCTTTTTTGAATTTTGTACCTACTTTTGTATTTTCCTTGTTTTCGTTGTTCAATTACTTTGGATATTCTATTTTAGTAAATAATTATACATTCTACATCTATAAGTTCATGCTTACTTAGTTCATACACTATATTATTAATGTACTTGTTCTATTGTTACGTATTTGTCACACATATGTTAATTTTGAGTAGTTCATACAATTCGTTTCACATTTTCTTCTTAACTAGCCTTATTGTGTTTGTTATTTTCAGTTGTAATCACAAATTTACTATTATTAGTTTGTTATTCATTTTGTCTCATGTTTTTAATAACATATTGTGTTTCATTTTTTTTTGTATTTACAGTGATTGTAAACATGTTGTGTGTGCTTAAGCTAGGTGGATGGTAGTTGGGATAACTCATACATGTTCTCTAATAAGTAACAAGTGATGCTTTAGCTTAATAGTACTTGAGGGGACATTATATGTTGACTTTACTTCCATGATTTATTCATGCATTGTGTAATTTGTAACCAATACAAGGCTTAGAATTTCTTACCTTGAAGATGGATGTCCACTTCATGTGCTTGTTAATGACGGTTCTAGTTTAGGATATAACCAGGCTTTAGAAAAAATTGACAACAACTATTCTAAGTTTCCTTTGTGTATTGAATCATTTACTATCCACTCTTGTGTTAATCAACCAATGTCATGTGAACATTCTGCATTTGCTATCAACGTTTCTTCCAAGTCACCACTGATGAATGATCTACAACGACATATGTATGCCACGTTTCTTCCAATTGATCTCAATGTTACTGTCACTACTTCACTTGATGACGATCCAAATGATTTTAGTGTTTGTGCACATTTTACTCATTCAATCCCTATTTTTAATCACTCAATGGACTTGGAAGATACACTAAAATCTTCAAATGAAGTCTCAAATTCAAGTTGTTAGTTTGGATTCAAATGGTCATTTAGACTCAATTTTTGTGGTTCATGATTTTGAAGTTATATCCCACTTCCATTTAACTCATATAGTCAGACATGTCGTATACAAAAAAGGTTTTGGATTATTACCATTTAAAAGTTTATGTCATTTCAAATCATTTTAAATATAAGACCAAGATGTCAATCAAAAAAAGTATTGCATGTTGTTTGTGCTGATTCGAAATGCATTTGGGCTTTTCGTGCAACGATGTTATCTGGAAGCCGCATAATTCAAATTAAAAGGTACTTGTTTTATGTTCACAAGTGGCTATAGTTGCGTTGTTTTTGTTATTTATAGGCTACTTATTGTGTACTTGTTGTCTAATTGATGTCATTCATGTTTTCAGGTTCGATTCTGATCATGCATGTTCCATTGATTTTACACAAGGTCATCATCCTCGAGCCACATCTAAAGTTATTACAGAGCTTGTAAAACACCAATATGCAGATGCATCTCAAAAATCGTATGCTCCTATTGATATTATTATGATAGACATGAATAGAGATTATGGTGCAGCGCTTCCTTGCAAAAAAGAGTAGTTTATGGAATCACATGTGACTCCCTTATGGAGTTACATGGGTGTTGTGACATGATCTCTACCATTTATATTTTTAGTGAAGACCCTCACTAAAAAAATAAATGCTAGAGATCATGTCACAACACCTCATGTGACTCCATAAAGAAGACATGATTCTTTAAAAAAATTATACAAAAAACATGGAATGCGAACAAAAAGACTCAGAAAAATTAACAAGTATTTGATCCTTTAGCCTTTCCAGAAACATTACACCACTCCCTCATATTATTAGTTGTGCAGATCAATTTGTATTGTTATTAAGTATAGAGGAAACATACTTTAGCGATAGATTGAATTTTGCCCAATGTGCTAAGATGGAAGATGTTAAAATGTCAAATGAGAGAGCATATTTCTCATCTAGACGCAGAAATTTATCGAAGTCCATAAGTAGAGATAATACCTTTATTGCATGAATAACACATGAAAAAAAACTAACCACATGTACACATAGGAAGATAATAGTGATTGTAAAAAAATATTGAGGAATGGAGAATACACATAATAGTGAAAAACTTGCAAAAATGTTGAAGCAGAAACAGTCTGCTGAAAAAACTCAAACCTTCCTCGAAATTGAAGTGGGTACTAGTTGGACAAAACAACAATCCTGATAAAGAAGGTTGCATAATTTGGGCATAAAAAGTCATAAAGCAAAGTGGTAAAACTAAGTGATGACAGCCATCTCTACCGTTAGGCTTTAAGACCTCCTTGAGTCTTGATGGCGCAAGCGGAGAATGTATTGGTGGCATCGGCGGATCTTGTGGCGGTGAGGTTTCAGTCTGTCAATGAACTGCTTATCTACTTTTTAAGATGTTAGATCCTTTCTCCCTGCAACGATGGAAATATGGATGTCAGCACCTTCTTCTCCTTGCAGCGATGGAGGCAGAGATCCGTTGGAGGAGAAGAGAACGATGGAAAAGAGATTGGGAAAGAAGACAAAAGATTACAGAAATTGAGGGATGAGAGATCGGTGATAGGTAAAAAAAATGGAAATAGTGAACATGAACAGAAGGTAAGAAATCAATGATATAAGAAAACAAATTATAGTGATTCTGAACGGTACAGATCAATTTAAAATTAAGGGTGCAAATTAATTTGTATTGCTATTAAGTATACAAAAATTCAAATTCAAATGAAGTCTCAAATTCAAGTTGTTAGTTTGGATTCAAATGGTCATTTAGACTCAATTTTTGTGGTTCATGATTTTGAAGTTATATCCCACTTCCATTTAACTCATATAGTCAGACATGTCGTAGACAAAAAAGGTTTTGGATTATTACCATTTAAAAGTTTTACATCAATCTCACATAAGGCTTGAGTTTATTACAATCAATTGGGATGCTTTTAATTGAACTAAAAATTTCTGGTGTAATCTAGTTTGATCTAGTCTCTGTACATTTTTTAATTGTCCAAATTTGGTCTGATTTGATCCGAGATTGAAAACAATCCAAATAAAAACATCATTATTGCCATTGGAAAGGTGAGCAAACATTTGCACCATCAAGGAAATTAAAGGTAGTATTACTAATGAACAAGGTCCAATTGGCATTGGCGATAACCCTAAAGCTAGGGGAGGTAGAGATAATATTGCTGGACAATATTGGGAGAAAAGGCATTAATAATACCGGAACTTCTTTTGTTTGTGTACACTTCCACGCCTCAAATATTGGATACTTGCATTGCAGGAAAATCAATATGAAAGCACAGTTTGCAAAGTTCCAAAATACTTGGCAGAAATATTAAACTAACCCATATTGGAAGTAAGCTTATTTGTTGACCTGTTTACAAGACATAATAATATGAATTTTTTCTCTATAAAAGCCGAAATACATCAAGGAGCGTTAGAAGCAACGGCGCTGAAACCGCCACATGCCAATTCAACTAAGCGTTTCCTCTCCCGTTACAATATCTGATCCAACGGGGGCATCTCCAAGCACGTGCCAAGTCATCATGATTTTGATTCAATGAATAGGCTGGCCTGAGGATGCAACCCCGCCTCCGTAAGGGACATCTCTACCTTGTCGGACCCATAAACCGTGCGAGGGAAGTTGGAAACGAGCCTGTAGCTCTCAAGCTCTACGCGACCCAATGAATCAACATAATCATATAGAGATTGTATGGTTGCTGTGCAGTTAAACCTCCTTCCCTCCCTCTCCCCACTAGGAAAACGCACCACAACCTAAACAAAGGATGCACCAACCAGAACAATACGTTAATTATTCGTCATCGTACCACATAAGAAAATAAATAAATAAATAAATAAATAAATAAAGGGATATTTTGAGTTTGCACCCCACTTTATTGTTGAAATTAGACTTTGCACCCCATTTTTGAAATCTTTAGTATTTTCACCCCAACCCCGTATGAAAAGACTAAAATGCCCCTCATTTAACAATTTTGTTGGCCTTCAACATATTTCTGATCGAGGGGCATTCTTGTCTTTTCATACGGGGTTAGGGTGCAAATACTAAGGATTTCAAAAACGGGGTGCAAAGTCTAATTTCGACAATAAAGTGGGGTGCAAACTCAAATTATCCCATAAATAAATAAATAAATAAATAAATAAATAAATAAATAAATAAGGACAGATATATGACTAAGATAAGTATAATGGACAAAAATATAACTTTTGCTACATGGTGACCAAAGTGGTAATTTCGTGACTAGGCTGATATACAAGTTTACACTGCTTGATGTTGTAGTGGCATGTATTCATGTTTTTATCCATCAGTTATCTTAGTAGTATTATAGGAAAAAGTCAAAAAAATCATATATGAATAGCTATATGAAGAGGGGGCTTATTATTACTTGGGTAACATCAGGACCCTTCTCAGGTTCGGGGCCGAGGGAGAGAGCTTTCTCCTCCCGCAATTTAGCCAAGGCAACTTCTCTCTCGGCAGCTTCACGTGCTTCCCTTTCACGGGCTTCTTCTTCCTCTTTCCTTTTTCTCTCAGCTTCAGCAGCTTCTCTTGCTAAGCGCTCCTCCTCTTCCTTTCTCTGACGCTCCCTAGCCTAAGTAGTTATTATTACGGGGGATTTATTAATGCAATTAATTGAATATGTCAGCAGAAAGATAATAGTATAAAAAGTTGGTTATATAAACCAAAACACATACCTGATCAGCTTCGAGTGCAGCGCGGTAAGCAGCATCCTGCTCCTCCCTGAGACGTATATTATTTCTTCTTTCTTCTGCTTCAAGCCTAGCTGAAACGAGTACAGGACTACTTTCTTCTACCACTCTTTGTAGTACTGTGAGCAACTCCTCAGCAGATCTTGGCCCCTCAACCTGTAGACACATAGATCTGATTAAATAATTACGCTACCTAGCAAAATCTGAGCAAAAGAGTAATGGTGGCTGACATATTAGAAGTAGCTAGGTGCTCGTATTAATGTTAGAGAAAGATGTTTTAGCCATGTACTCCGTAGAAGTATTTCATTTTCTTTCAAAATTAGGTTATTATACTCTTGTAAATGGAACATGATAAACGGAAACTACATTTGGGACAAAATATAATAAGAGGAAATTAACTTCTCACTAGAAGTTAATGTGCTAATTACACATAACCATTTGTAGCAAATCATTAATGCCTCCATACAACTAGAATGAATAACATCATAAACTTGATATAGGCAAATACATTTTCAGGCTTCAATACTTTCATCATTTGTAAAACTTTATCGTAACAAATTCCTTCCACGTCACTGGTATAACAAATTCCATGATACATCTGAGTCTACATTACTACCAGTCTACCACTATAAAACACAGCATTACAACTCATAAACTTGGGATTCAGGTAGCTTAACTACGTGGGATTCAGTGACATGAAGTTTAGTGTCATTTAATTGTCTAACCATTTGAGAACACAAATTTAAGTACAATAGCATAATGGTCAAGTTTTACGCCATCCTTTTAAAATGATGAGATGAAACTCCGAAACCATCATTGCCACAGGTTTTTCGCAATTTGTATGATAGAAAATCCATAAAATCTGCATCGAAATGATATGAGAGTTGTCTGGATCACATCCAAGGTCTAGAATGAGGTAGAGCTTATAGGGAAGATATGAACTATCATTGAGAGCAAAGAGTTGAAATAATTCTAAGGTAGAATTGATCAGTGCCTGACCTACTCAATGCACACAAGAATGAATTCTTCAAAGCAAGTTTATTACTACATCCGTCCCTTTTTAGTTAGCCATCTTTGACATTTCTAGTCAATGGTGGTAAACTTAGGTAAATATAACTTTACCTAGTTTGACCAGCACGAGAATAATAAAGTGAACTTGTGTGATTGAGATTTGTGCAAAGGAGAGAGAATAGGAGCCACAAGTAAATTGATTAAAAGGGAAAGTGGCAAAGTTTTTGGGACAACCAAAAAAAGAAATATGGCAAAGTTATAAGGGATGGAAGGAGTATAATTCACCGAAAGTCATAAATGTTATACTTTTATGATAGTATTTTTAACAACATTACCCTAGTGCCGCAAAGGCTCCCACCTATGGTGGGGTAAGGGAGGTTGGATGTACGCAGCCTTACCCCGGGATAGACTGTTTCAGGATGGCCCATGATGAAAATCGCGTCGAAAATTGCATGTATGACAATATTTTTAACCAACATTTTCGTATATAAATATATTAGCAGTCAAAATCTAGCATCTTTGACTAAAAAAGTCAAAGATGGCTAACTAAAAAGGGAAGAGGGAGTATAAAGCTATTATATTAACCTTGATCATAATAGGAAATATAAAGCTAAAGTCTTGAAGCTAATTAATTAATACTCATCATTTTCATTTACCCCAGTGCCGCAAAGGCTCCCACCTACGGTGGGGTAAGGGGGGATCGGATGTACGCGGTCTTACCCCTGTACTAAAGCACAGAGAGACTGTTTCCGGATGACCCATAGTGAAAATCCCGTCCAAAATTGCATTGACTGACTGCTGCTTCATAACAAAGAAGCGCAGACAGTTTAGTGAGCCATTTTGCTTTATTCCATCATAATCTCAAGCCAAAAAATAATGAATCTTTGGCTCCATTGCCAATGATGGAAATTAATTAATTAATACTAAATGAAGAAATATCAACGCCTACCCCTAACTAATGATAAAATACCACCACCAGTCCACCACCACTACTAGTAGTAGTAATATTTGAAATAACCCCTAATAATCGCAAGACTTATTCAGACCTACACGTGGCAGTAATAGGAATTGCGCCCATATGACCATGTAACAAAATTTGAACCTCCAAATGTGCTAGCAAAGAGAGATAGAAGTTAGAGTTTAATCCCTCAAGCATGATGGCAGAAAATGAGAGATGTTAAAATAGTGTTTGCCCATATTATATGTTAGACCGGAAAAACAACCATTTTGCCACCGAAGTTTCCAATATTTCGAGATGGAATACAAGTGGAAAGGTGGCAATTTATTTATCACTTTAGATATTAATAAGAATGAAAATGAAACACGTGTTTGAAAAGGCCTGCCCAGTTCACAACGCATTTAGGCAATAAGGCTCACAGCTTCAGCCTTCCATAGGCTGTGGTGGGAGCAGAAAAGAAGGTATGTGCCAGGTTGCGGGTGGCTGATAAGTTCTTTCTTCATCACTCAGAAAAAAAAACATAATTTCCTTTAGCTGAAGTTGTTTGTCATTATGAAAATACTGCCCTGGCATTGAACATCATAAAATCATAAAAGTTAGCTAAGGTTTGAAAATTAGTTCAAAACAGAGCAAACAGTTTGGGCGGACACAAAAGTTTCCTACACCAGTCAACAGCGCCCATCATAGGAAACTTCCAACTGCTGCCGCTGGCTGAATGATATCCGCAAGTAAAAAGCTTGACTTTACTAAACAAGCAAAGCGAGGGGTACAAAGTGACTCGACTGAAAGGATAGGTGAGAAGATACTCGAGCATAGTTTACATTTCCAGCTTTTCTAAATAATGGTACATGTTCAATTCTTTCTGTTTCGACTTTCCAGAAGTGTCCAGTTTATCATGTTGTATGCAACTTTAGGAGTGTATTCAGGTCCACAGAAGAATATGGAGATGAAAGAAGAATAAGGAGAAGTTGAACATTACTAGTCTATGAGGAAAATGAAAAATGTGATCTTTTATGTTTTCTTTAATAAACTCCATCTTGAATTGTTATAAGCGCAATTACAAATATGGGATCATTTACTATTTTTAAGTTATCTTTACAGTTGTGGAACTTGTTCACATATTGAAACCAGTTAGAGAACTGTGAAATTTTTACTACCCAGCACAGAGGAGTTTAGGTAATGGGGGGTGAGCGAAAGAGTACCATTTAAGCATGGGAGGAAGGTGATTAAGTATTCAAAAGGGAAAGTGGTATAAACTATAAAGTATCCCTCCACACAAAATATAACTCTAAAATCTAGATTCATATCCCCTGTCTCAAGTCTCATTCTTCAATTTGTACTGTGCAGCCACCCCTTCTGGTACAAATCTTCAGGGGAGTGATTACATGATTTTATATTGTTTCGCTCTATCCCTAGTTTTTTATCTTTAATTGCTTGAATTGATCAGACTTCCAGAGTGAACCATTCAGCTTTTTGGTACGAAGCATATTTTTTAAGAATTTTTTTATGCTAAGTTTGTTAGGCAATTTTGCTCGATTTATTTTTATTTAGTTGGTACTTCTATTTTTTGCTTGTGCGTATTGCGCATATTATGTTTACTTACCAATACTAAACAATAAACTGTTCAGCTTTGAGGTTATCCTTGTCAATTCCAATGTTTTGCTATACATTAACTACACGTTTTTTCATTACTCTCCAAAGAAGGTTAAGAAACTACTTACAACTCGTCACCCCCAACCACACACATAAGTGTAACATCTTTCAACCATAATTAGAGGTGGCGTCTGATTGTTTGTACTTCAGCAAAACGTTAAACATAGATTGGTAAACATACAGCAATTATTATGATCATTGCACTACATAAATCAAAAAATGATTGAAAAAGATTCACATGACCAGAGTGAGTACTGACCATAAAAGCAAGGAGCATACAAGGTAAAGAGTAATTTTGATTCTAGACACAGCCATGGTAGAGGAAGATTTATTTTTTACTATACCTGCTGAAGCAGGGCTATCCTCTGGTTTGTTGCAGCCATAACCACAGCACAGAAAGGATACCTTGACGCCTTCAAACTGTTACTCATTTTGAATCCCTCACTTGCTCGGATGCTACCACCCCAGGCCACAAAATTCTCATTGATAAACTCAACCAAGGCCTCATTACACAGTGTTCTCTCACAGAAAACAGGAGTGTCTGGATGATCAGGGGAATGCAAGTAAACAAACAGGAGCTTATAAGCATGCCTGGACCTCTGCAAAGCGTCCATAAAACCCTCGGAAACGAAGTTGGGTCTTATGCTTCCAAAATCAGCTTCGAAAGCATCTACAAAAGCCATGGCTTCCGATGATGATGGTGATCCCGGAATCAAGGGGGTGGATGATTGACGGTTGCGGCCAGAATTGAGGCCGAACATGCCCAAAGAATACGAAAGAACGCCACTGGCAGCCCACATCCCCAGCCCAATTGCACCCGAAATCAAACCCAGACTACCAGAAATGATAGAAAATGGAAGCGTGACGAGTTTCCAAGCCAATCCAGGAGGCCCGCCATCGCCGGCGACAACCAGTCCAGCTTCCGGGCGGTCTTGGTACGTTTCCGGGGTGGACGCAGTTGGCAATTGAGGGCTCGTAGCGGCTGCAGCTTCAGAGAGATTGCTGTCAGATAAAAAAGCGGACACCGCTAGTTCGAGATCCCATCCATGCGCGGCGAGGATCTCCGTACACAACTCGGAGTCTTCAACCCCGGTAATCGCTTTAAAATACGCTAGTTTATCAGCCACATCCCCCATTTCCCCTCCCAGTGTACTTGTGTATTGGCTAAGAAATTAGGGTTTTGATCACAGAGATTCACCTTGATACGTGTTCGAGGAGATGATTCGTTGAAAAACAAAAACATACGGACTAGAATGTTACTCCCTAAGATATAACTATATAAGATCATTAATTTTTTCATTAATTCCGCTCGAGAGTCAATACCTTAACAATATACCGCAAGTACAAGGATACATTTATAATACGGAGACAACATAGTTTTTATTAGTTAAAAACAAAGTGACGGTTGAAGGAAATTCTATGTTGTGTGCTGTCGTTTAGATAGAATATGTATTAGGGTCTTTCTATGTAAATGATGTATTATGGGCCTATTGGCCCGTACTTGTAAACTCTACTCTATCCCTATTTATAGGGGCTCTCGGTAATGAAACTCTACGAATCATTCTCCCTACAACACGTTATCAGCACGTAGCCCTATACCTATTTTTTTCTCCGGTTCTCCCTACACTCAATCCGCAGCCGCGCCTCCAGCAGTCCAGCCGCGCTGCCAGCAATCCAGCCACGCTTGGCCGCCTCCCAACACACCGACCGTCGCCTGGCCTCCCCCCTTCCTAGCCTGCGACTCACCAATTCCTAGATCTCTGTTGAGGTATTTTTTTTACTCAAAAATCATTGCAGGATCTTATGTATATGATTTATTGCATCATGTTTACCATTGTGATGAACATCATTGATTTTTTTTAGAGATTAAGTTGTCAATTTTTTGAGATCCATTTCTAGCACCCCAAATGTTTGATGATATGCCTCACCCATTTTTTTGAGAGATAGATGCAATTTTTTTATTATAATTCCGCAATGCTATATGTTATAATCATATAGTTGGAATTAATATCATATTATGCATCCCTCTTCGTTTTTATACATCTATGTGATCATACTTTTTCGTAAAACTATATGCCATATACATATAGTTGGAATCAAAGATCACACGATTAATCTTATTTTCATGTATTTTATATGATTATATGATTATACTTTCCGTAAAGCTATATGTTAGATACATATAGTTGGAATTAAAATCATATTATGCACTTTTTTAATTATTTTAAACATATTATGTGATTATATTTTTCCGTAATGCTATATGTCACTTACATATAGTTGGAACCATAATCATGTAAGATTACTATATTTTATGCCCAATCCGTTCATTAGACCAATATTAATACTTTCTATATTAAAAACACCATATAACACCTCATAAAAATCTCTATGATTTTTTTAAGGAGGTGAATATATATTTCCTCACTTCGATGCATTGTAAAATATTGTCTACAAAGAGACATACTCTCATGATTATTTTTTTGTGATAAAAAATTTTCACACAAAGAATCGATTTTGTTTATACACAAGTTTCTGTTTTATATCATATGAACTACACAAGTTCATGAATGTACTCATGATCATGTAATTTTTTTTAAGATGGTTGACCATCTCAACTTGTATTTGGCATTTTGGCCTCGGACGGATTTGAGTACCATTATTCAGTTTTCTATATTAATTATTTGTGTGATAAAGAATTTCCACACAAGGCTCTACAAATTTAATTGACCAATCAATTTGACCGGAGTTTGACATTATGCACTCAAATGAACTTGAGTATCTTCAACGCTTATTTTAGAATTCAATGCTACTCCGGCACACTTTGTGAAAAGTAAATCACAAAAGCTTATTTAATTTGATAGAAAAAAACTAACCATTTTTACACATACTTCTCTAGACATATACTAATGCACCTGTATATATTAAATAATTATGTAACTAACTAGCTTTTAGCTGGCACTAGTGAATGATGTTTATTGTTATTGTGTCTTTTTTTTGAAATGCAATTACAATATTTTTTGGGGGATAAAGAAATCTCCCAAGAGTTATTTGGATAAAGAAATTTCCAAATAAAAAAAATGAAAATATAAATTTTAAAGTAAATCCCTTAATATAAGAGGATTAAATGTGATTATCTCGTCAGGATATATGTAACTTGAAAATATACTTTTAATTTTTATCTTCGTAGAATCTCTAAAGAATAAGGGATTCACCGCATGAGAATATAAATTAAGTTTCATGATTGTCTACTTTTTTGAGAATAAGAACACTCTCTAATTATTGAATTTATCCATTTTTTATTTAATTCTTTCATGAGCTTTATAAATATGAACATTATTACTTCTAATTAGACTTTTATTTAAGTCTTAAAGTTTGGTATAATTATATTTGTTTGAGATTTTAAATTGAGTTGACATCTCATTATTTTATCTCAAATTATATTTGAGATATTTATCCATTTGGATTCATTAAATGCATATCTATGAATTTTGTTCATAACAAAAATAGTAGATACATATAATAAAAAGGGATACAAAGGAATATATCCTTAAAATAGTAGAATGATATGTACCTCATTATATTTGAGATCATAACACTCTAAAGTATATGAGTGAAATTTACAAATCACTACAACATATTACAAATAAGTGTTTTAGTCAATTGTGATTAAACACAATAAATTAAGGAATAAATATTTATTTATTGAAGTAATTCCTTATTTTCATTTATGATCAATTAAGGGCGATGAATTGCCTAAATATTTAATTTCTAAATGAATATAATTGTGTTCTCCTTGACCTCTAAATGCATCTAGAAGTTGCCAAAGTTTACGATGTTTTAAATTTGTTCACCACAATGATTTTATATAGATGGAATCACGTCATGGGTTCAATTCTTGTGAGCGGTCTCTTGTCAAAGTGACAAGAAAAACTTGCCCCTTATACACCTTTGTGGGGTTTCCCTAAACCCTCACATTATGAGGACATCAATGTCGACCGCGCTACCCTCTATGGGTTTTCACATAGAAATTCGCTATAATAAAAATGAGATAAAAAAAATCTTATATTGCGATAATAAATGTAAAAGAAAATGCATATTTAAGCAGGTTATGAGACAAAATGGTCATTGACTCATACAAACTTTGAAATAACTCATTCAAGTTATTAATCATTCGAATAAAGGATGAAATAGGATCCAACACCATGTAAATTGTTGGTTTTAGCATTGATAAATAGAAAGCAATATCAATCTTCTAAAGTAAGAGAAGAAATATTTACCTTTCGTTACGCCTTACAGATATAGTAGAAGGCACGTCAGTTATTTCTTAAAGTTTACTCCTTAGTAATAATGGATCGAGATTTGTCTCTGCTAAGGATATAAAAATGTAGATATCTCATTTTTTTAATTTGACACATGAGAACATATCTACCAACATGCGTGTCATTTAAGTAATTATGCTTTGGTAGAAATTTACTCATACTATCTATTTTTCGGTTACATAAAAATGTTGCATTTGCAAAACTTCTAGCAAAACTTATTTATTTAAGGGTCCACCACCCGACCAATCAAGTCTATATGACTTGTTACTGCTAGACAGTTCTCATCAAAAGTATTTGATGATTATTGCATATTTTTCGAGATCAATGAAAAACATCTCGCATCCCATGTGAAAAAAAAGAACTCATTAAAAATCACATCTAAAAGAATATTGATGGTGAATATTATATCTATTATGCGCACACTAATATTTTTTTATGGGATTATGCAATATGCAAGCACTCTTACACATTTTTTAAACCGATACTAGACAACCACGTTTATGTATACCAGTTGTGCCTATTGCGTCTCCCACAACGACTATAATCGGTTTTAAAAGAAAAATGATGTTTATGTTGGATATGAATCCCCAACAATAATCCGCTACTAACCTTAACAAATAATGTGTACACCGCTTTGCGGGATATGACTTTGATGAGACAATTGATTTTCCTGTCATTAGGGGAGATTAGAGAAAGAACTCTCTAATTGAATGACAAAATCATTATGATGGTACATCATTACTTTGTCTCAATGATACATCTTAGACTTCAAAATGTAACATTGAAGTTAAAGTGGTATCATAAATGATTTAAGTAATCAGATTATACACACTAGCTGCAAACATATTTATAAGGCTTGAATTTAAATTAAAAGAAACAATGCTAAAGGAAGAAACATTGCAATCACAAGCAGTGGGGTTGTGGTTGAGGCCGTGGCTCTCTAAAGGAATAGAGGAAAGCCACATGGTTCGATTAATTATCCACCCCAAGTAGTAGAGGGTAGATAAGGCACAAACCAATATACTCGTCATCATATGAATTCCTCTCATGAGATTATCTCTGATTAAACATGTCCATGAATTTATAATGGGGGACGCCCCGAAGTTTAAATAATTTCAGAGAATTGAAATCTCAATGTTAATGAGAGTGTGTATGAGTCGAATGATAGACCTTACACTTATACTG